AACGTTTTCTGGCAATATGTAGCCCCTCTTTCTTTTTTGTTTGTTTTGGAAAACGACTTTTTATGTAACACTTGGTAGATGGTTGGCGGGTGCTCTGATGTGGTTTGCTTCTTCTTTCCTATCAAACCCCTACTAAAAAAAAAACTTTAAAAAAATTAATACTGGTCATTCAAAACGTTCTCTTTACATGTGTATTATCTGTTGGTTAACAACGAAATTTCAAGTGCGTAAGGAAAAAAAACCCCTAGGACACAAGGAGTACTCTCGTAAAACAGAATATGACAGGGAAAGGAATACAGTGCATTACTATGGGACTCTGCAGCCTCAAGCTACAATAATACACTCTGTAACAATGAGTTTAATTCAACTTAGATGTTATTTTTCTTTCTCATAAAATAAAAAGTATATTCATTGAGCTTGGTTCTGCATAGATTATGTTTTTCTTTCTCATGAAATACGAAATGATGAGGACAGGGTGACATTGGACAATGTTGGGTTTGTTGTTTTTTCCCCTCTGTGAACCGGAACTATGATTCATTCAACTGATTTAGTATCGTCTTCCCTTCTCTTTTCAAATCGGCCCACTCGAACGGCGGAGACTGAAAAGTATAGCATACCCGAAATAACATAAATTTCTTATGTTGGCAGTTTGTGCGTTCCTGTAACGAGAAGCTTTTTTGTTGTTGCGTTTTTATTTATTTATTTTTAAAACCCGGCGACGTGACGCAAGTAGCCGTGAGGGTTACAGCGTTCATGCCGGTCGAATTTCAAGACTTGTAAATCTCGCCAGGTGTGCTCAGGGATTAAAAGGTTTATCATTACTCTAGCCGCTTCCTGCTTTCTCCTTTCTCTGACCCCCCTCCCCCCTTCCACCCTTTTTCTCTCGATAGAATTGATCGTAGTCTTTATGTCGCTTCTCGGTGCACTTGCTGACCTGACCCTTTATATTGACAAATCTGGAGTTGTTTCACCTATTCTCAATCATCGACTGATTGATTGCAGCTCCCATACCACAGCTCAATGCAGTGTTCATAGATTTACTGTTATTCTACAGCCCGTTTAAAGGCATGCGATCTAGTATATAACGTTAGTTGACGCACGATGTGCGCGCGCGTGTTTGTATGCTTGTGTTGTCTTCGGTCTGTACGTATGTACTTGTGCCGACAATTGTTTTTCTACTTGTTCGTTTCTAAGCATGTAGATCTATCTAAATTTATGTCTGTTTGTACGCCAGTCTCGATGTGATATCTGTACATTTAACGTTGTTGTCTTGCGTTTCTCAGCAGTCACTTGGTCATATTGTTGCGTTGTTGTTTTTGTTTTAAAAATAATTTTTATCATTAATTCATTTAGTGTGGGGGAAAGGCGGGGGTGGGGGGGGGGGGGGGCAGGGTCATAATTTTATTCATTTTTGGGTAGGTTTTCGTCTGGACTTAGCGTATGTTACCCGACTACCCTCAGCTCTGGACAACGACTCGGCGTATTCCACCGCGATCGGACTGTCACGAGAACGCCAACTTTAATATTAGTAAAAAAAAAAACCCAGCCACATAGATCTACTTTGAATTATGGATAAGTTCAAACTGCCAAAACCCATTACTTACTGAAGATGGGTGCAGCTATCGCTCTGTCACAATGTTTTGTTTCCTCATTTCCTCAAGACGGTGGGTTCAGGGTCTTCAAGGTGCGACAAGGCTGCGCTTTATGTGCAATTCTTCTCTTGCTTTTTCGTAAGAGGACTTTAAATTTATGAGTACAATGTACACTGTATTAACAAGTGCTTTTGTCGGAATCCTTAACCGGAAAAAAAATGAAGATTTCCGATAAAGGAGCGGGAAAGTAGTTCACACCAGGACACACCATGGTCAAATTATTTTAAACTCCAGGTGACTTACAGTCTCCCCGGATGTGAATCACACTATGACATCCGTTTATTTATCTCCCCAAATCGGCAAAATCTTGAATTCCACGTACCCCTCCTTATAACAGTAAGAATAAAGGAAGAAGACTTCACTTTTTTTGGGGGGGGGGGGGGGATTTCTACTCATGTCCCTCTGTCCTTGTGCGACCTTGAAATCTATGGGGGCCGGGTCGACCTCAGAGCAATGGTCTCCTCTGTCCCACTGGGATATTTGCGCATGTCTCGACTTGTTTACTCGGAAAGAACCGTCTGGGACGCACGGTCCAAATAGGATGCTTTCACTGACAGGAAACAGGTGCGGTTTGTTTGTCTATGTCTTTGCTGTCTCTATGTCTTTGCTAGTGGAAATGTACGTATTTTGGTATCTACGTATTTTTTACGATATGTATGCATGGGAACAAATACTATCTTTGAATGGAGCTTTCGAGTTACGTCGTTAGATTTCTAGTGTTTCGCGGTTTTTTTCGTCTTGAAATCAACAATGAATTAGCAATAACTTGCGCGAGAAATAATGAGCGCAGACGTATTTCTTCTGCGTCTTGGCTCGTAATGTTTGCATTTGTCATCCTCTCGTTAGGTCAGTATGTCGGCGGGCGTCTTTGTCGCCTCGTCCGGGCAACTGGTGAAAAGGAGACGTTGTAACGTTGTATCATTTGCATACATTTCCCCCTGACAGGTTCATGCAAACAGGGTGCATGTTGTGAGCATCCCGCTCGAACGCGTGCATGTTAGTGTGCGTGCTGGAGAGAGAGAGAGAGAGAGAGAGAGAGAGAGAGAGAGAGAGATAGAGAGAGAGAGAGATAGAGAGAGAGAGAGAGTGTGTTTGTGTTCTGGGTCTTCTTTGATGCAGCAAGCTTTGCTGTTTGTGGTCGGTTAGCGTCTCTTGGAGTTGCTTTACGCTCTGCCCTTTCCCCTCTGTAATCCATGTAGATCCGACTTCTTTCCTTTCGCTTTGTTGTTTCTTTCTGTTTGTCTTACTCTTTTCCGAAAACCACATGCACCAAATGACCGCTATCGCGTCAATGCATTAAAAAAAACTTTATTCAAACTCAAACCGTTCAAAGGTGCAGTTTCCCCATACGAGATGGCGCTTACAATTACATTTTTAACAGGGGTGCTTTTTTAACGCCTCCATCGACACAGTTAAGATCATCCAGGAAGCGGGCTTTGGCCCTGGTGGTTGGAGGGTGCTCTGATGTGGTTTGCTCCTTCTTTTGTATCAAACCTCTGCCGTCCTCACCTCTCCCCTTCTTTTATTGTATGTTACTCTCCAGTAACACCTGTAACTTCGCACTTACATGGCCTATTTACGTTGCAAGGGCTGCGAAATTCTTACTAAAAATTTTGACCCGGCCTGTCAGGGGCAACCGGAACTGAAAGGAAACACCATCCCAGTAGCAAGACCGAGATACCCAATGTATTCCCAATCGGCAATCGAACTCAGGTCTCCTACGTGTGATGGCGAAGTGTCTAACCACTTCACCACAAACGCCGGTTGAGATGGCGCTTCTGTTTCAGTTGGTGCAGGGGCTGCTGTGTGTGACGTCACGGGTCCCGGGCTCCGTGTCCTATACACTGACACATGAACCTTGTAACCTTCCCCAACCGGACTTACAGGCCAGGCCGCCCGCACGTCCGTGGTACAGGCAGTGGGAACTGCAACCGGACATCCCGATATAATATATCGCCACCCCTTTATCTCACTTTTTCTTCTTTCACTCCGCTCCCCCCCCCCCCCCCCCACTTTTTTTTATTTTTCCCCCATCTCTTTTCTGTGTTGCAATGGGTGTGCTTTGCTGTGGTTTGCTCTTTATTTCCTATCAAACATCTATTTGCCCATATCTTACCTCCTTCTATCTTTTCTTTGTATATTACTCTCTAGTAACACCTCTAATTTTCGGCTCTTGTGTAGCCTATTCATGTTACAAATGGCGCCAAACTCTTACTAAATTAAGTCAGCTCTTGTTGCTGATATTGATTGAAGTGTCCTTCATCTCCAGCGTCCCTATCTTTCCTTGTAGTTGGTTTGGAACAAAGTTTGATCAGCCTCACGAAAGTTGGAGATTAAAATTCGAATCGGAGTTGGGTCTTGAAGATTTTTTTTTTTTAGGTAAAAGTAAAAGTGAACTTTCCGCGCCATTCTAGAGCAACGATGCACATCCAAGGCCTCCACTTTCCGTGGACCCACCTTTGGGTCGCTGTGACATCCTTTTGCGAAAAAGAAGCCTTCAGCTTGTTTAAATAACCACTGGTCAAAATTTACTTTTACCCTCCTATATTTTCTCTTATTGTGGTGTCCTGATGAGGGAACAGTAGTTCTCCATATATGGTGTCCTGATGAGGGAACAGTAGTTCTCCATATATGGTGTCCTGAAGGATGTTTCTCTTCGACAATGAAGTTTCCCCCTTGCCCTTCTAGATTCCGTGTGCATGTATCCTGTCGTATCCGTGTTTTGACTCGCTTGCTCGTGACTCTGTGCCATATGTGACTGAATGTTGAGCGTTTCTATATTATGTTCTTCTCACAATTCATTCATGTTCCCCCTTATGGAGACGATTATTTTCAGCTCAAAAGTTTGTAGTTACGATTTCGCCCCCACTCGACCCCCTTGCGTATTATTATTTTCAGCTGACCACCTGACATCCTGAGTTGGTTGGTGGGTTCAGTGGTGTGGTTTACCTCTTCTTTCCTATCAAACATTTATCATCCTTATCTCTCCTCGTGGGTGGTTGGCAGGACGTGTTCTGGTGTGGTTTACTTCTTCTTTCCTATCGAACATCTATCGTCCTTATCTCCCCTTCTTCTATTTTATGTTTGTTACTCTCTTGTAACACCTCTAATCTCCTGGCACTCATATGACCTTATGCGATTGCGAGCGCCGTAAACACCTCTACTAAAACAAAAAAATCTCTAGAAGTAACTCTTCTAATCCTCAGCACTTATATGACCTTCTTGTGTCGCAAGTGCTGTAAAACTGTTACTAAAACTTAACTCTGCATCAACTATTGGATCTCCGAATGAACTGTTTCTCTTCAGCGCATTAAAGGTTTTGTGTTTCCTCTTCCACTCTGCTTGCAGGTGGAGAATATCCTGAAGCCACTGGACTTGGGTGACGATGACTACCGTAAGGTCATGGACCTTATGCATGCGGAGCTGGTCAAGGGTCTCACTCCAGCCACACACGAGGCCGCGGACATCAAGTGTTACCCCACCTACGTGCGCTCTGTGCCTGATGGCTCAGGTCAGACATGGCTGCTTTCTGTCTGTCTGTCTGTCTGTCTGTCTGTCTGTCTGTCCACCCGCCCGTCCTTCCGTCCGTCCATCTACTCTGTCTGTCTGTCTGTCTGCTCTCTCTCTCTCTCTCTCTCTCTCTCTCTCTCTCTCTCTCTCTCTCTCTCTCTCTCTCTCTCTCTCTCTCTCTTTCTCACTCTCTCTCTCTCTCCCCCCTCTCTCTATCTCCTCCTTTCTCACTGTATGGAAGTTCCATTTAATTATTTCTCAGTATTAATTAGTTTTGTAATGCTGGTGTCCTTTTTGTTTTACACAGAAGCACATTTTATTATTGTGTCACTTTCTATGTTGCCACTTTGTTCTGGTGTTTTATATGACTGGAAAAAATTGGCGAAAATTTGAATTGAACACATATATTATTGGGACTAGTTGGGTACTCGTTCCATGAATGGACTCAAAAGAATCAATTATCAAGTCATTGTGGAATCACTGCGCACTGCTTGTGAACGGAAGCCTCGCTTGTTTACAATGGCGTCTTAGAAGACGGACGTTCCCAAGGTTAGATCTTAACGAAACTAATGAAAAAATGAAAATTAAACTGAAGTGACTTCAGACGCCTTAATTACACCGCACCCTTTAAATGATTCTGAACCATTTTTATGTTTTTCAAAGTCAAAAGTTCAGTGATCAAAAGTTTTAGGCGACCAAAGTGACAAACTTTCACAAATATAGTATAGACGTACAAACTCATCTTTAATGATTTCTTTCTTATCTCCATTTCATGATTTTGAGCACTGATTCGTGCATTATTATTAAAGGCCTGCACACATCTATGTTTGTCCTATGATTGACTAATTGAAGTCCAATGCTCTAACAGAGAATGGAGACTTCCTGGCTTTGGACCTGGGTGGCACCAACTTCCGTGTGCTGCTCATCAACCTGAATGGCCAGGAGGTGAAGATGGAAAGCAAGATCTTCATCATCCCACAGCACATCATGTTGGGCTCTGGTATTCAGGTGAGAGACTACAGAGTAGTACTTTGGTAACCAAGGCTCTCTAGGCTGGCGGTCTGAGGGTTTGAAATCAGGGCCAAGGTCAAGAGTCATATCAGTTGAAAGTACATTGTCACTGTTATTGTAGTCAGGTATGCCATGTCAGAGGAACGTTTCGTTTCTGTGATCTCAATGTTGTTCTGGCTGAAGTAGGGAGACTAATTTCAAGCTGATAAAAGTTGAATACAAATACAGCAGTGCCTAAAATGACTTTTCTGTAAAGCACCCTCAAGGCCTGTAACCATTGTATGCTGTGTCATGAAACTAGGCCTTATCTTGATTTCTGTAACATGATATGACTTAATAATGCAAAGTCATCTCCTGGATTTTTCAATTTTGGGCTTTATTCCATTGTCTTTTATCAAAGTTAGTTGTAATTAGTTTGGCAAAGTACTTTAGTTTGAAGGTAGTTGATCTTTTTTTTTTCCCAAGAGGAGTTTCCTTTTAAGTTGGTGTGTGACTGAAAAGAATTTTTTTAAATTTTTTTTTTTAAGAAAAACAAAACAAATTAGGTGAGTGCTATCAAAAATTGTTCGAACACTGAGTTCATCCTCAAGGCTCACAGGTTCCATTTGGTATTGTTTTCTCTCTCAGTTGTTTGACCACATAGCGGACTGCATCTTCAAGTTCATGACGGACCACAAGCTGACAGATCGCAAGCTGCCGCTGGGCTTCACCTTCTCGTTCCCGTGTCGCCAGGAGGGCTTAGACCGGGCCATCCTCACCACCTGGACAAAGGGCTTCAAATGTGCTGGCGTGGAGGGCAATGACATTGTACAGCTCTTGCATGAGGCCATTGTGAGAAGGGGGGTGAGTGTCGTAACTGCCTACAGGGACAGCTGCTTGGTAAAGCAGTTAGTGGGGGCTCTTGTGGTTGAGAGGTTACAGTGTTTGCCTCTCATTCAATAGGTCCAGGGTTTGAATCCAGAAAGTGACGGGAAAATTTTCTTCTCCAAAAGTGTTCTCCTTTCACCTCCTTTCCTGCTCTCTAACCATGTTCTGTTGTCTTTTGTCTCCACTTTCTGCCCCAAACCCCCTCACCCTTTTTGCACTCTCATCTGGGCTCTTTACTCTTTCTGTAGCCTTTCTACTGTTACTCCCTGAGTGGTTAGTGACAGCTTACTTACCTGCTGTGCTCTTGTACTGGTCCAATGAAGTTACCAATATACTGTTCTATGCTCAAAGGGCATTCTATTTTAGATTAAAAATTGATCAAAACGATGATTTTATCAAGAAATGGTACATACAAATAAATTGTTAAGCGGGGCTTTTGTGGTTTTTCTTTATTCCAGACGGTCATTGGTTTAAGCTGTAAAACAAGAATTCCTTCAGTTATGTTCTTTACACCTAAAAAGTCCTCCACCTAAAAAGTTTATTAACTCATTCAGGACGTAATTTTTTTTGGCAGCTGAAACCATTTGGATGTAATTAATTTGCAAACCCGTGAATAAATTTGAAAGTATGGAAATAAAACAGCTTAATATATGGTGTAGTAAACATTGTAGTGGCTATGATATATCATCTGAATCTGAAATGTAACTGAACGTTGATGTTCATTGATAAAAATGAAACAAACTTTTGACCCGGTTCAAATTGCCAGTATATTGGTGATACATCCAATGTGTTCCCAGGAAGTTACCGATATATCAGCGATACATCCAAGAAGAGTTAACAGTGTGGAAGCAATCACTTCCTAACATGCTGTAAAATGAAATGTACTTTATTTACTTGAGAGTAAGGGAATTATGGAATAAAAACCCTCAAAGAAATCTAAAATCGGTTTATGCTGAGTGTTTTTTGCATTCTATTCCCAGGATATGAAGAATGTGAAATGTCTGGCTGTGATCAACGATACAGTTGGTGCCCTCATGTCCTGTGCTCACAGTGACCGCAAGTGTGCTATTGGACTCATTCTGGGTAAGTAGTAGGTTGAAAAAAAAACCAAAAACATTTTTAACACAGTAATACTGGTTTGATAAAAATAAAGCTAGAGGTGACAGTGTCCTCCATTATCATAAAACTTTGAGAGGCTTTTAAGGTAATGTTTTGGACGAAAATATTAAGTTATATCTTGTATGCTTTCACCATTTTCATTCTAAGATTTTTTTGCCTGCAATTTGCTTACTCATGGTACTTAATCATTTGAGGATGCTATTGTATATCATGGTTTGACAGATGGTGGCCAATGAGTAGGGCATAGAGTACAGGGATCATTGGCATAACCATTGTGAGTGGGTGGAATAGATACAGGGTAACAGCTGGCTGTGGCCTTGTAAGTTGTTTCTTGCATTCTGTGCTATGCTCAAAGGGTATTCTATTTTAGATTAAAAACTGATCAAAACGATGATTTTATCAAGAAATTGTACATACAAAAAATTGATAAACACAGTTTTTGTGTTTGTTCTTTATTCCAGAGGTGCATTGGTTTAAGCTGTAAAACAAGAATTCCTTCAGTTATATTTAGTTATAATGTGATACAAAGTGAATTTATATGGTACTCAGAGACACAAAAATAAGAAAGGCCAAAAGAAGTTTTGTGTAATTGCTCACTATTCCTATTCAAAGTTGATAGCAAGTATTGAAAGGTTCTATTGTTTTCTGTGCTTGGGGGAAATCTTGGTGTATGCGAAAGCTTAGAAAGGAAACACGTTGATCGTGTTACATCGGCTTGTAGGGTTCCTGATTTGATATGCAGTGTAAGATGTCATCATTTTCCCCGAACCTTCTGACAAAGATTTTAAAAAGCAAGAGTTATTGTTTTAGCAAAAAAAAAGAGGCAAAAAAAATTTCCTGTTGAACTGATTGAGAACCTGTCTACTTTCTTCCTTTTTTTATATATAAAAGGAGTGCAGTTGTCTTAATTCTGGACAAGCAGCAAAGAAGAATAATTGAATCAGCTTTTGTCATGGTGTTATTGTTTGGCTGTCTGTGATGTTTCACTATGCTCAGTGACCAAGGAGTTAGTGATATTATTAATTAATAAACAGAATGTATACTATTCTAATGTAGGTCTGCTCTGCTGTTGATTTGTTCTGCAGTAGTCAGTGTGTGTGTATAGAAGTCAGTTACAGAAAACTCAATAAAGGAAACTGTTTGCTTGCTTGGTATGTCACTACATCTACGGCTCTTTTTCTCAGGTACTGGAACAAATGCCTGTTACATTGAGAATCTCGATGACGTGAAAACATGGGATGGTGATACTGATGAGCCACATGAGGTAGGTGACCTCTGCATGTCTTCATAAAGTGTTTGTTCTTTTTTCACTTACTATGAAAACCATACCAAATTTTTGCTAAAAAGGTATTTTAGTGGTAACTTGAATGGTGGTAGCCATATATTGTAAGTAAGTAATAAGTAAGTTTATTCAGTGTTTAAGACAATTGGCCCACATCACATCATATAAAACCCTCATTTGTTAAATTAAGTTTCCATAATGAAAAAGTATAGGTTGTGCACATATCTCTTATTGTGGGTCAAACATTGCATATTTCTGTCACTGGGCGAGTCAGGCTCGGAGAAACTAACAATTTTCTTTGACAGGCAAAATTTGGACAATAAAAAAGTTAAGTGAAATTCATCTTCAATTTCATGAAGAGTTACACCTCTCTCATAAGGGTGAATTGGTTATTTTCCACCTATGAAGATTGCTATTTAATGGAAGGCAGTGAGTATTTAACAAGGCTTTGACTCTTCTCTTCCAATATCATGTGAGGTTGATTATATACTCAGCTGTTTATTGAAATGGATTTGTAAGAGAGAATAAATTATACTCGCGACATATATTTTGCTTGTCTAATGAAGCAAAATTGGGAGACATCTTTCAAAGAAATGTGTGTAGGCTTTGAGTCCTTTAGAGTTTTATTGAGTTGAGGGCTTGTATTTCACCCGCTTTTGTTCATTATATATGAGATTAACTTGTTTTATTCTTTCTACCGTGAGACAAGACCCTACATGCTAGGTGCATGATTCTGATCGTCAGTAACACTAATGGCTTGTCTATGTCCAGGTGCTCATCAACTCTGAGTGGGGTGCGTTTGGTAATGGCGGTGCCCTGGACTTTGTGCTCACAGACTTTGACCGGTCCATTGACAAGCACTCCATCAATCCTGGGAAACAGATGTGAGTTTTACTTCAGTCACATGTTCCCCATATGCTGGCCTCTTATTTTTCCTCTGCTTTTTCTCCTCCTTGTGTTTTCAGTATACAAACTTTGACATGATTATGTTCCAATCCTCTGACAGTTCTTGTATGCGTATTCCTTTTGCATGGTGAAAGCACCAGCTGTTTCCAACTGCTGTGTGATATGTTAGTCTTCTTTCTCCTTAATGGGGCAATGGAGTGTGCCCTGAAGTTAGACTTTTAATCTGTTTCCATTCCTCCTAGAAGGAAGTGTTTGTGAAATTTAGTGATTTTACTAAAATTGTTGTGCTGGTGAATGGTAGGGAATGAGGTATCCCTATTTTTAAACCGTTGTTTTAGACTCGCAATTATTTTTATTTGATGTGTTTTTTTGTATAAGGGCAACTTAAATTCTTCAGTCAGTGAAAGCATTGCAGCATTTTCGTGGCAGTACTACGTATTTCTAGTAATGTTTGTTGTGTCTTGTCTGCATGTCCTCAGTTATGAGAAAATGATCTCCGGCATGTTCCTGGGAGAAATTGCCCGTTTGGCCATTGAGAGACTGCGAAAGAACAACTTGCTGTTTGAAGGGGAGGGATCCTACCACTTGTCCACCAGAGGGAGGTTCTACACCAAATATGTCTCTGAGATTGAAGGGTAAGTTGTGTCATTTCTGTCAAACTCTGTGTGGTGAGAGCTTCATGTTTTGATTCGTTTTCCTCTTCTCAACAAAGAAAATAACAGAGAGATCTGACAAAATGTAATATGTTACATATAATTCTAAAATGTTTTTATTGAGAAATGAGTATATCTCAACAATTTTACTCTCTTTTCATGGCTTTCAGTGTGTGATTGATCGAGATAGACTGAAAATGATGGTGCGTCATCCTGACAGTAAATCTTTTCCTTAACATAACTCAGAAACAAGATAGCCTGTAACCAAAGTTGACTGTGTTGTTGCTGTTCCCAGTGATGATGTGGACAACTTCACGGTGACCAAGCAGATCTTTGAGGAGCTGGAGCTGGTGACCCACAACGAGCAGGACTACAGGCTGGTGAGACACGTGTGCAGCCTGGTCTCCCGACGCGCCGCCTACCTGGCTTCTGCAGGTGAGTCAACATGGGGGTTTGTCTCATGGGGGTGGATTGACCATGATTTAGAATTATTCCTGTGTGGTGGCGTGTTGTGAGTAACTCGTAGAACTGTATGTTGGTTAATGGTGTCCAAATTTTGCCTGACAAAATGGTGAGTGTTTTATTTTCATAGTGATAATAGAGCTGGCAGGCTCACGTAATTTCTAATTGTTATTTCCAATATACTGAATTGTGACTTTGAATATTCTGGTGGTTTAATGAAAGGTGAGCAGAGAAGCCTTTTGTCTCTTCTGGTGCATAAATGAATGACAACCTTTTTATACAATTTTACATAATCTTATTTCCAGGTATCGCATGCTTGTTGAACAAAATGCAGCGAAAGGAGGTGACCATTGGTGTTGATGGGTCATTGTATCGTTTCCATCCATTTTTCCACGATCTGATGATGGAGAAGACGAGGGCCCTCACTGATGCACAAATATCTGTGAGTGCTCCTGTTCACTTTTCCATTATTTAATTATGTTTATGTAGACTTCTGTTTTAAATAACTCATAAACTGTTGGAAGATGTGGCGTTGGTAGTCTAGTGGTTATGTCACCAGACTCCTAACTGTGAGGTTGTGGATTTGAGGGTTCGAGCCTCAGGCCCGACGTTGTGTTCTTGGAAAAGGCACTTAACATGAATTTTCCTCACTTCAGCTAGGGTGGAATGGGTACCGGGCCATAGACAGCAAAAGATCTGGTCAGTATGTTAGTGTTTTAGGGCCTATAAAATGGCAGCTTGCAGTGTATGCTTCCTAGGAAGTTGAGGTTGTTTCAGAATGCTTTCGGATCTGCTGGGATACTAGTATAGATTGTAAAGCGCATAGAGCTTGCTGTTGAGAGGGAATTTGCGCTATACAATTGATGTCTATTATTATTATTATTATTATTATTATTATTATTATTATAATTATTAACCCTATCTGTACGCCCTGGGGTCATTTTGTACCCTTGGCGTTGTATTGTTCACATTTTAGAATACTTCTAGTGCGAAGGTCTCTTTGAAACTTCCAGTTTTTCCCAAAAAGTCACTTTGATAGACTGCTGTGCAAAGCGTACGGATCGGATTAACAAGTAAATTTCCTCTTTGGAAAGTGGTGGCACAGAGTTCCCCGCGCCATATGGATATGATAGTAAAACACGACATACATATAGGGTTAAATAATGAGACTTTCCTATCTGGACCTAAGTTTTTCTTAAATGAACCTTTTAAGTTCACTATGAGAAACCAAGATGAATGAAATGATATTGCGAGTCACAATTGTTAGATTTTACGTTAAAAAATGCTTTTCCTTTTTCTTTTTTTCTTCATTTTATCCAGTTCAAAATGATGTTGTCTCACGATGGCAGTGGAAAAGGAGCTGCTCTGGTGGCTGCCGTGGCAAACCGCCTGCTGGAGGAAAAGAAAGAAGCCAAAGGTCAAGGACCTTCGTCAGGGCATTGATAAGGACATTAGCATAGAACCTCATCTCCGTATTGCTCCATTACATGTGATAGCATACTCACAGTTGGGCTCCCGCTCTATGAGGTGGTGGCCCCCACCACTGTTTTATCTTTGCAATTTTATACATTTCCTCCTCCCCCTTCCCCCAGTCATGCCTGAGAGAATTTGTGCTAGAGTGATCAAGTCTGCCTGAGAGTGCTCACCTTCTTCCCGATGGCCTGTGCTATATTTATCGAGGGAGAGAGATGTGTGCGCAAGAGGGAAGAGGTTCTGCACTTGTATCCCATGCCACTCGAAGAGGACAAAACACATGTGGGATGTATTGCACAAGTACGCTGGCCGGCCCTCCTGTTCCAAGGTTTTTGTGGACAGCAGCTGGTCCATTGCTGGTGGTTGAGATAATGAATTCTATTCACTCTGGACTATGCGTGCTATTCTGGGCCAGTCTCTTGGCAAAAGGGAAGGAATCTTTCTGAGGTTCTCCTCCTCATGTTTTCAAAAATAGAGTTGACATTGTTGCATTGAAAAGTTTCTGTGTTAGCGTTTGATCTTTTGAATAATTTCAGTAGGACTGACTATTAAATGACAGAGTTTTAAACAATACAGGGGCATTTGCTAAACTGTTAATGTTTTAATATTTGGCGAATGACAGGTTTTGTTCACATGGAATATGCTTTCCTCTCTTGAAGTATTATTTGAAAAAAGAGCTAGTTCTTGCTCTGGTTCAGTCAAAAGACACAAAAACCATTTCTGATCTGTTCTGTGGTTTTCACCACATTTCATCCGTTATCTGGTTTCATATTGGAGGGAATATCTCTGGTTTGATCAATTCTTATATTTATTTTCTCTGTTGGTTTTTCTTTTGCATTGTCATTTCAATACGAGGGATCATACATTCAACACTAATATTCATCCTTCATCTGCAATATATTTGGTATCCTTTCAGATTGGTGTATGTATATGTGTGTGTATATATATATATATATACACACACACACACACACACACATATAAATATATGCTTTTTTCTGAGGAGATCTGTTTGGATTAGAAGCATTTGATAAGTTATATAATGGCTTTTATGCTGTGCTGGCTTACGTGCACTGTTTACCATCCACCATGTTGTTTCCATATATATATTGATCAACTGTGCAATGCTCATGCAGCTATGCTTAGTCCATGAAATTGTTACTGTCTCTTCAACTGAGTGAAGTGATGCAATGTTGTATTAATTTATTGCATCTGTCAAACCAGTACAGCATAAAGGTGTTTGATATTTTGTTATATGGGAACCTGGCATTGCAAGTAGTGTGCAACCGTGATGGGTCTAGGAGTGCCTTGCAATATTTATTTTTATGTTTTGGAAATGTCTGCAAGGTTTTTGGGCAAGGGGTGGCATCAGAGTGTTGGACTTATGTTTTATTAGATTTTACATGTTGTACAAATTTTAATTTTACAAAGTTATGAGAGAGGCCTCTTGGCAAACTGTTACTTCTACCAGATAAAAAATGTGGGTGGAGAAAAGGGGTGAATGTTTTTCAAAACAGTTAGGCGTTCCAATCTAACAATACACATTTGGAAACTCAAGATCTGGAGCTAAGTGCAACCATGATCTAGAGATGGCTGTCACCAACAACAAATACTGAGTCACAATCTGAAGCCTGAAGGCATCCTTTCAGTCAGTTGCAGTAGGGTTTTTTCTGACCACTATGTGGGTTTTCGTGAGGGTTCTATTTTAATAAAGATATTATTAAGTCTATGAAAATCAATTTAAGGCAAATTGTGTATGAAACATGGAGAAAAATAGTTTCATATCCTTGAGGATTTAGGACTTGCAACTGATAGTTTGATATTCCACTGCCACTCCGAGACCCTTTTCAGTTCAAATTTTTATGAAAAGATAAACCTTGTCCCACATAGCTGAATACCATCCACAGCTCGCCAGTTATCAAAATCTCACCAAAAGTGCAAAAGATTTTTGGGGGGGTTTTTTGCGGTGGAGAAACATTGTACTGTTGAGATTACTCACCTTCTCTTTTTATGAGTGCTAATTTTGTTATTATTTATTATTACTCTTGCTTAAGATGAACAAAACATCTGTGATGCTGATGACCTCAGTTGCAGTTTTTAAAATAATCATTGGATAAGTATCAGGCCTGTGAATGTGAATGCAAGCCTTTCTACAGACACGAAGATGCACAGCGTTGGAAGACGTCTATGCCATCGCACTATTTGTGCCATTTATATACATGTATTTTACCAGTGTCCCCTCCTAGATCTCAGATCTTTTTCTGATGTGTACAAATACTTCAGATTTGGATGTTTTGGCTGTTTGAACTGTGTACAGAGAGGTGGCGAACTGTTATACTTTGAGAAATTTTAAAAACTTGAAGCCCATTTTTATAAACTGGGTCTTGAGTGTGGCAGTATCATGTTTTTCATGTATATTTCAGTATATAATAAGTGAAGCTGTTCGTATTTACAGTAACTTTGATAAAGGCTCATCAGTATGTATGAAGAGGCTGTAAGGACCGGGCATTGTTTCTGCTCTTGAACACAGATTCAATCAAATACTAATGAAGGAAGAAAGGGGAAAATGTGATTTGTGTGATTTGAGGACAGGTTGGGCCTGGGCATTTTTCTGTTCATATCTGAGATCACGCCAGGTCTGGATAATGTAATTTTAATTTGTGCATATTGTGGCTGTATGTTATGTGCATGACTTGTGTGGGCCTGGTGGTTGGATGCAACATCTGAGATATGGATGTCGTTTGGGCATCTTACTCTCTCATTATTTCTAGTACAACTGTTTTCTCAACACAACATAGATAGTCTCTAGCCACCAAGTGTCAAACATACTTTATCATTTTCTCAGGTTTGTCAGTGGGTGTGTTTGTGTGTAAGAGAGAGGGGAATGTGTGTGTTTGTACGCGGGCATGTGAGTGTTTGTACGTTTGCTGAAGTCATTTAGATCTATCTGTCAGAGACCATTATGAATACAATGATGTCAAATGCAGTTATACATATCAGAATATAGGAAATTCATAAATTTTCAATAGTTATATGATTTTATCTGTCTGGTTTGTTTGCAAGTTTCTAGACTTTTCGTTAATACCAAATCATATATAACTGTTTACAAATACACAATGTCACTGATGCAGTGTCTGCCTGGTGACACACTGAAAATTCCCCAATGTTATGATTTTCACGCAGTGATATTGTTGAAGTGCTCACTAGTATGGGAGAGTTTGGCCACACTGGAGTGTGTGGAGTCGACACTTGTGCAGTGTCTGTTCTCCCAGCTTGCTCTTGGTCTACAGAAAAGAACAGCCTAATGAAGGACTGTCTTTGCGGGAATATAATAATTGTGTGGTTGATCTGAGATTTTAAAGATATTTTGCACTGTTTGTTCTTGTAAAGACTGCTGGTGATTGTTCAGGACTTGCAACGTAAACAGACGTTTTGTGTTTAATGCATCCAATCTTTGTACTTAGGATTGGGTCACAGGCATCTCTTTATTCTACGTGATCTGGCTTCAAACTTATCTTAGTGATTTTTTCCCCTCTATAGATGATGGTAATTTCAAAGATTTTATTATCATTGTTACGACGTTCCCTTCTTCTACATTTGCGCAATACTTATGAATCTCTCCTTTCTGTCTCATTTTTTCCCCCTTTCTCCCTGACTCACTTTGTTCCATTATGATCAACATGTATGTTAGCTGAAGACAGATAATATGCAGTTTAGTTTCCAGTGATAGACAGGCACTGTCTCAGCTTGGAGTCAGTCTTTAAGCTCTTTGAATATTTTTGAACATCAGTTCCAAATAGTAGGACTTTCAATGTGCAGGCTTCAGTCACAGCTTAATAATGTTTTTCAGAAGTGTGACAATCTTATGTTTCTCCCTATATGTCTGTCTTATACTCTTTAAAAAAAATCAGATTCTTTTGTTAATCTAATTGGTTCTGTAGTGACCGTCACCTGTTCTCTTCACATATATACTTTTCTGTTTAGTTAGCTACAAGCAAATATCACTTCCTCCCAAACCCCACCCTGTCTGCAAAAGGACTCCAACTCCTCCATGTCTTATCCAAGGAGTAGCTAATCAAGGAGTACTTTATTTCATGTTATGCTTCCAGTGTCTATGTATATCTGTTTGGCCTAGAGCTTTCCTCGTATTTATGCTGCAGCTAGCCGTACAAGAATCTGTGTTCTTTATTTCTGATCTAGACTGGTGAATATCGATGATGTCTTTTTTTCACCACAATAAATTTTACTCCTCTTGATCTATTGAATCTTAAAAGAGATAGGAATAGTAGTAGGGAATATTTCTTTGAATCCTTGCCTTCGGCAATTTGTATTAAAGTTAAAGGGTGTATATTTGAAAATGAAAATATGTTCAAAATAATTTTCCTGGAGCTGATTTCTCTTTCCTCAGTTTTTTTTTTCTTGTGTAGTGCTACCATTGTCCAGTGGCACTTCCATTGCCAGATACTGGCAGTTTGGTATTTACCGGGATGTTTGTTTCCTGCAATGCACTGACACAGAATTTTAAAATCTGTTTTATTTATTGCATAAAAATCATTCCCATTCTGATGTGTTCTGTTGGGAATATAATATGAGAGGTAAATGTCTGCCGAAGCAAGATGATTTGAATAAGAGGACAAGAGCCCTATACTGGAGAAGCTGGAACTTCCTTTGTAATGATGCATATCTTTGTGAAAAACAAGTATGTGTTATTACCCCCCAAAAATGTTTTGAATGCAGAATAAAAAAATGTCTTGTGTGTTCGTAGGATTTAATAGATTTTTATCAACCTATTTTAGTGATAACATCTGCAGATCTCCTCGTGACAAGACATCAGTAAAAACACAGCATTTAATACCATCATCACTACCTTTATTGTTCTATGTTGTTTAAGTGGAGTAGGAAATATTGCTTGTGTCAGCAACTCCGGTGTGTTCTAGGTTCTTAGTTAGCCAAATAGTGAACTTGAATCTTCACAGTATAAAAAGGACTTCATAATTGTATATGCTCAACGCTTTCATGTCTGATAAACTTTTGGAAAATGTATTGGGCATACCAGGAAAAAAAGACGTGTTTCAAGTTTTGCAATATTTTCCGCACCACAGATATCCTCAAAGCCACATGGCATCACCAGTGGCCAGGGTAGAACAGATACTTACAGCAAAATGAATCCTCAAAATGAAAAGTATTTTCACCCAAAATGTCACTTTATAATATATTTTCTCTTGTTGAGAACAATGCGTTTTGTTTTTAGTTTTAAGAGATTAATAAAGATGCATGTACATAGTTGTTACGACTTTTGGTGTTCAATTTTTCTTCCCGATAGTCTAGCACGCACATAGTGAAATTGGGAGGGGGGGGGGGAAGATCTTTTAGTTTTTAACGAATTTCGCTATACATACGTGTTTTAAATACAAAGAAAATTCGGGACATGAAAATCTGCCTGCTATGTGCATGCTAAGCAAGACTAGTATTTTAGGCAAGTTTTATTCTCTTTCAATCAGATTATGATGTCATGACCTGTGATGTTCACGTAGATTGTGTCGAAGGCTTTGTCCTTGTGGATAAGAATGGTTAGCTCAGAGGTCTCATGTGTATGTGATATTAGTTTCTGTTGTTTGATGAAAAAGAGCTTGCGTGCGAAGACTAAATTCTGAAATTTAAAAAGTTCCTGCGTAAACACGCAGGAAGAGATTAGTCAGTATAATATCAGTATAGAGAGTACTTTTTTAATTCGCCCCTTATAAGTTTCATCAGTTGCTTCCTGTGACATTAAAAAAAACTGCAGTTATCTTGGGGGAATGATGAATGATTTATTGAGACAGATTTTCTTTCCACCATTCGCCGATATTTCAATTTGTGTCTTTGATCACTTCTTAGAGGGAGGCCACATTACAAGCGGGAGAGTAGGGCTGAGCGGGATCGAGAGGATATATAACAGATATTTAAATGGCCACACTATGAGCGATTCCCCGGTGAGTCTTGCTAGCTTTGAGCGAGACTATACTTCACTATGTTTCTTCTCATTTCCCGCTCAGCCTGGCTCATGAGACAGCGACAACACTGTGCCCCCACATTTCAGTGTTTGCAGATTTCATTTCCTGGCTGTCTGGATATGCCCACGTGTCTTGAAAATTATTCATTCCGTCTCTTGAATCGTGTTACTGACCCATGGGCCAGTCAACACAACAGTTTTCACCTCGGCTGTTTCCCGCTTGAGAAAAGCAACTCATAGTATGGCCACCCCCAAGTTTATCGCTCATTGCTTGCTTCCCGTGAGGTTCAGCTCTCGCTTGTAATGTGGCCTAACACTTGCCCCAGTCACATTTGAAGTTCTCATCAGAGCCAGGTCCAAATTTCTTTATTCCTCAAGGAAAAAGGATTGATGTCTTGTTGTTGAGCTGAAAGACATGTGTCATGCCTTCTAAATGATCTGCTGCAGCTGGATGCTTGGTACAGTATTAAAACTGAACAACAAATCCAGACATGTTTAAAACTGTCTTTTACCATGCCTTTACTGTTTTCACACATTTATACAGTGCTCAATGAGTAAGATCACAGTGAAAAGAGACATGGAAAACAGTATTGTAACACTGGGTGGAGGGGGGGGGGGGAGAAGAGAGACTGCAATGTGAGCTTAACTTTACTGTACAGTGGAACTCGGATTCAACGAGGTCGCCCAGCTTGACCTAAAATCTCGTTGAATCCGAGTGTTCGTTATAGCAAATACGAGGTTTTGTGTAGATAATTACAGGCACTGAGCAAATAATGTACAAGAGAAGTCACAAGTAGTGCCTGAAATGCCTGTGTATTATGAGCTGTGTAAAAAAAAAGGCAGATTCGTTCAAATGCACACCCCTGTGTCATCTCGATTGTTTACCAAAAAGTTGTGTCTGTGTAGAGCCTAGCATACGGCAACTTTTGATTTCATAGACCAGCGCACAATTCATTACATAGATCTACGTCAAGACTAGCTAATCATTGTAATAATGATCAGTTGGCGGGGGAAAAAAAGACTGTGACACGTTTGTATCTGCGACGTTCAACGCCCGGACCGCTAGTTGAATCAGAGTTCCACTCTACCAACAAACACAAAACAAGCGCTCCATTTTTATCTCCAACAAAAGCATTTAAACAATAAAGACCACTGCTAAGGATGCAAGTTCATGCAGGTTTATTCACATGTACAGGTCAATATGAATATGTACATCACACCACTTACATTGGCTAGTAGGAAAGTTTTATGTAACATCAGAGCTGCATGCCATTTCTAGTTTTGCCATGGTATGCAAGATGGAAATGTTATAAACCAGGTAAACCCAAAACTGGTATTTCCAGCTATCTTTAGGCATTAAAGAACAAAATATCAACATATTTTTTTCTTCTTCAATTTAACTCCTCAAAAAATAAAAACACCACCACAATGCTAAGACAAGACATTCAAGAGACACAAGGTAAAAGTGTTAATATGCTTTCTTAGTACGGCAAAAACCTAACTTGACGACCACTTGCTTCACCTGGATCTCTCTGGGAATTATTCTCCTGTAGTTATATTTGACCTTTGCATATCAACCACTTCTGTAATGCACTTAAGATCACTTTCAATCAAACCCCATCAAGCACAAAAAAAAAAAAAGAAACAGCCCCAGCATATGCCAACCACCAATTGTTCAAACAGCTCACTACAATATTTTGTCATTTTTTAACATTGGTAGTTAATACACGCTCTTGTCCTTAATGCTGAATGAGAGGCTGAAGAAATTTAATTCCCACTCAGTTTCATTTGCTTTGACTTTTAGTTGATTGCGTCAGCAATAATGTGCCATAATTTTTCGCGTTACCTTCATTAAGTTTGGTACGTCCCAAAAAGCAGTGTGAAAAAATTGATTGATCCACACCTGAACGTTATGCTCCCATTCTGTTATGAACATTTTATTAAATTTTTCACCAACCAGTAGCACCTAGGGGAGAGTCTGTTCAACAATTATGGATAGGGACGAATTCAAATTTTATCATGGCTAGGCCAGCTCTTCTTCCCATTCTGAACTATCACGGTGTCATTAACATGTCCAACATGCACACAAGACTCTCTTTTTTTTCTCATATTTCTCCAAGAAGTAGAAAGCTAGGTCCTCCCTGGGAGCTGGGATGGGAAAACCTTACCAAAACTCATCCGTGGACAAAACCCAAACGCAACCTATTTATGTGTTTTGTGTAATGAAAGAGGTGTAACCAACCCACTTGAGAATTGACTACACAGCTAATTAGCTGACATTGACCTTTATATGTCAGTGCAGCAACATGACATCCCACTTTCACTGCAAAGTTGCACACTATGGCAACCTTATGTAAATCAAATGACACTGCTGATCTTGATTAAGAAATTCACAGGGATCTTTGTTTCACATTATAACAATGATGATGCACTTTTATATATATGGCAATAACCATTCACAGGGGCAAAAAGAGGACACCTTACACAGGTTTTTACTGCATTATTCTTGCAAATTGTGGGTTACGAAATTACAAGCGCTTTCATCTAGGTATGGTAAAGAAGTTTTATACAAAGTCATAACATTTCAGGTATTGTTTCCTGAATCTCTGTAGAAATTAATATTCTGGATACATATGTACATCTGTTGGAGAGCTCATAATGCTCCAGTTTCAGATTCAAAAGATTCAATCATTTCAGGAAGAGAGAGGTCTTGAGAGTCTGCAAGCAGGAAATAATAACAGCCAGTAATCCGTGGACACAAAACGGCCCTGCCGTTGATTACTTATCAGAAATTCAAAGAATGTCAACGACACACAGTATCTGCAATCACCATTGGACCAGCTTTGTTCAATATTCTATTATAACTACAACAGACAAATTTCAAAAGGAACATCCAGATTTTAAAATTTTGTGAAGAATTTGTCCTCTCATGGACAGACGTATGTGCAGACCTGACTATTAACCCTATCTGTACGTCATGTTTTTCTATCGTATTCATACGATGTGGGGAACTCTGTACCATCACTTTCCAAAGAGGAAATTTCCTCCTTAATCCGATTCGTACGCTATACATAGCAGTCTGTCAAAATGATTTTTTGCGAAATACTGAAAGTCTCAAAAAATCTTCGTACCAGTACTGGAAGTATTCTAAAATGTAAAGAATACAACCCCAAATGCCCTCCCAATAAGTGCATTTATTAATGTTATTATATGTCACTGTATGACTACCCAAGACTGCAGGTTTGGAAACCTGCAACGGCCAAAGTATAGCATCCAAGGACATCAAATTTGTAGAACTATAGCAGTGTTTATGAGATGGATGTTGTATTGTCTGCATTTCTGTTATCAGTGGGACTTCTTATTAATCTGTTTTATTCTACCAATATCCAAGACTACCAAATTTGACGCAAAGAAAAGCTCAAGTTCTAACAGTGCTTTAAATCTAAAAATTCACAACAAAGTCACAAAGCAAAGACACACCATAAGTCCTCATAAAAAGTTCACAGTACCTTTTCAATGGGGATTTAAAAATGCAGTATAACAATACAATCAGTTTCATCAAATTAAAACTATTGTATCAAATGAAACAATAGGTGTTTTGAATGAATGTCATACTTTCAGCAATTTGCAGTATTGTATTATAATGTAAACATTATTCTCTGGTGACTGGGAAATATGTCATAAAGACTCATCTTTACACGGGTCATACTATGATGACAGACACTCCTCATTAACACGATGTAAAAAAAAATAAAAAATTTCTAGACAATGTAACACATTTTGAAAAACCATTATTAAAGCAGATACTTGAGTTCATGGATTTAAAAAAAAAAGTCTAAGAAGTTTAAAAATGGGTTTTCATAGACAAGATACTACAGTTTAACAATTGAGTTCTGGGACGGAAGATGAACAGAGCCTACAATGATTTGGCGCCAGCCTCAATATCAGTGGAATTTTTCAAACCAGTATGTATATATTCAAAGCACACTTCTTTAACAGCCCACAAATCTTTTGAAAACAGTTGAACCATTTCTTTTAAAGGGAAGTGGGCAACAAAAGCGAGAAAAATCAAGACAGCATTTATGTCCCAAGTTTTTGTGAAGGTATTGATTCATTTCACGGATGTCCACAAGATAGCTTTGGTGTAATAAAAGGGTTATAACTTGAAAAATTTCCGTAATTGGAAAATCATTGAGTTGAGAACTTTTAAACTTACGATTTTACTTCATTTTTTTTTTTTAATCAAAAGACTTTTAAGCACCCCCACACTTCTCATATGCTTAAAATATTACTATTAAAGGACACAGACTATTTGTTACTTAAAAACAATGATGGCACACTTGATAACATAAGACATTACTACAAGACAGATGAAGAGGAGTAAAACTTCACTAGTTAAGTGACTTTATCAACAAATGATTACAACAGCTAGCTCAAGTTTGACAGGTGAGCAGCAGAGTAGAACAATTGCAACAGAACAGCTTTAACAAATGATGAATACAGCAGTCAAGGACAGAGTAAAACATGCTTGCTTCAGGAGACCTTTAGAAAAATTACAAAACTTCACAGTCTTTTAATTAGTAACACTGCCAAATATTAAGGTTTTGAGTAAGTTCTCAAATCTTATTACAACTGAGATTAAGATTACCCAAATATAGCAACATTGGTATCGCATTTATACTCTTCACACATACAGACATGCATAAAGTTTTAAATAGATCTCATCAAAACACAAAATTGGGAACTATACATAGTGATGTTACAGTAGTCTCCGCCTAAACGCAAGTCATACAAAAGTACCCCCACTCAAACGCACGCTTTCGTCATATGACAGGCTTTCAACTACATAGTTTAGATATACAAACACAAGGTCACTTCCCCTAAACGCACACTTCGATCTGCAAAACCCGCCGACAGATAAAGCTTGACAAAGGGAAATTTGCTAAACAACCTAGACGGCATGCACCATGAAAACAAAGACAAGTCAGGACAACTGCATATTTGAATGCTCCTCATATAACACACAAAAAAGTGATGGACAGCATGTTCCCACCCTAGGAAGAGACTGAAATGTCTTCCGATTGGCCACTTGAAATGCATCTTTGAGAGAAGGTTCCTCACTGATGTTTTGGTGACTGTAATGTTTAGTTTGGCCTACGACCATGATAGACAACATGTGTGAATGCTGCAGAACAATCAACAGGCCTGAATATATAAGTTTAAAGATTTAGTCAAGCCATCAACTGAGCTCAAACTTACTCAAAAAACTTATTACTTTCCGGTACTAGTTCAATGATTCACTAGATAAAAGTTTCTTAGGATGTCTAATGTCATCCATGCATTTACCAAAATGAAATACATGACCGGATGTCGGGAGTGGTTGCTTCGAAAGCCGCATGGCTGAGCTCCCTTCCCTTTGACTATCACCAACAGCTTCCTCTTGCCTGTTCCCAACATGTTTGTGCACATCAGTAGAGTGAGTCAGTAGTCAGACTTTCTGCTTTTTTCCACCACTCATTTAATGCTTCTGTAGATGCAATCACGATTGGGGAATACTTTATAAAACAAGCCACACCGCCATATAATCAGTGGAAACGATCCCAACCCCAAGGAAGGTAACAATAATCACTTAAACATCAAGGATATGGGATGGTTTTTTCCCTTTCCCCCTTTGCACAGGTTCACATAAATGCACGCTCCATATAAACGCATTTTTGGGTGCCCTCCTGAGCACTGTGCCTTTTGGCGGAGACTACTATACTAGCATTCACACACAATAGATGCATTCACCGTCCTGTCAAGCACACTCTTTCATATCACAGAGCAACACAGCTATTCCTACCCATGCCATAGGTTTCCCATTCACGGGCACCATAACGTGAAGAAAATGGATGTTACACTTTCCATAAATATAAGCTTTGGGAAGGGGAAGGGGGAACCAACCGTACTAGTTAGAAGAAAAAAGGAGTAGAGAAGACTGAACTCAACCTTATCACAACCCAGGAGCAAAAAGTAGTAGGCAGTATACATGCATACTCTAGCTTAAGATTCAGCATATTTTTGAGCAATTAATTTCCCACTGCAGATATTTAAAACTACAGAAGAAATTTTCGATAACAAACTTATATTCATATTGCAGTTCTATGTTCAAAACTAATATACTTCCACCTGAAAAGAAACTCTCCTGTCTTTTAAATTTACAAAGTGGCATGGGCATGGAGTGAAATATTTTGAGGTTAGAGTTTCTGTGACATCCAACAAACAATCTGATGATCACGCCTGGTGATCATCCATAGAAGAAGACGAGGAGCCTGACGGACCCATAGATATGGAAGATGAGGAGGAGGACGAGGATGCTCCCTGTCCATCATCACCATTTCGAGGAAACACTGACGCAAAATCCACTTCATTTGTAGAAGTATCTTCCCCATTTAGGTCCTTCCGACACACTGGGCACGTGCCGTGCTGTTGAAAAACAGGACATTTTTTTAGTAAGAGTTTTACGGCACTTGCAACACAATAAAGTCATATAAGTGCCGAAGATTAGAGGTGTTACAAGAGAGTAACAAATACAAAAAAGGAGGAGAGATCACGATGATAGATGTTTGATAGGAAAGAAGGAGACAAACCACACCAGAGCACCCGCCAACCAACCACAAAAACAGGATGGTAATCTTTAAAAAGATATTTTTTTTAAAAACAAAAAACCCACAGAAGACATGGGAAAGGCTAATAAAAATAATAAACCCGTTATCCATTATGAGTTGATGAAGATTTTTAAAATCCAAGTAGGAAGAGAACGTATAGACCTTCGTAGTTAGCATGGTAAGGATAGTAAAGAAAATAATATCAAGCAACTTGTAATGATCAAAAACACAACTCACTCCAGGTGGATAAGACTACAAAATGAGTCCACTATGAGTCGCTTAGTCTCAATACCAACAGCTTGTACTTGTAGAGCTACATACAGTGTAGTTTCAAATAGACTTGTTACCTAAACAATTAACATTTATTTGATAACACCCAAGTACGACAAACACTTGCTCTACTGCTACATTAGAAAGAGCAGTCGCCTGTGCCCACCAGCAGCCTACAACAGCCAGTTATTTTCACGAGATGAGATTCGCATACAGACACATGATGGTGAAATGAAGTGCAGTTTTAGCCTACAGAACAGAGTGACAGAATTATAAAACAGAAAGAGGACCTAACAGACCCCCCCTCCCCCTATACAGGAGGAGGCATTGTACTCTAATCATCCATGCAAAAGGCGCGCGTTTCCATACAGTAACAACGTTTAACTTCAATCGCATGTATAAGGCACCCCCCCCCCCAAAAAAACAACAAAACCCTGCGCCAAGGTTGTCCATTTACTATTATTTTCTTAGGCCTATTCCTTTATCATCAATTAGAAGCCTCATGTATCACAGCAAGCACTTTAAGCCTAAGTGTAAAAAAAAAATACCCCCACCCCCTCCCCCCGGGCGTCCCATATGGGTTAAGTCCCGAAAAACACCTCGACAAAAAACGCAACCAGTGTGAATGAACTTTATTGACCTCGACAACCCGCGGTCCCCGACACACGCGCTTCTCACACAAGTCACACGTACAAGGTCATGTCATGTGATGCAAACAAAAGTTTCAAAGTCCCACTGACAGGTCTTGATGATGGGCCCGACTAACCAGAACTCGGACGAAGCTTGCTTGAATTTTAAAGCAACGGCAGAACAACAAATAGATTATTTTTAGGCCTGTCATAATTGCCACAGTAATCAGGCCATCACAGGAGAATTCTGGGTAACAAAAGCGAAAGTAGATCAAGAGAGAATCCAAGTCGGAGTTCAAAATCGATACTTCTTTGAAATAATGTGCGCGAGTCAACTAGGCTCCTACTGGATCCGGCATTGAGGTTTTAGAAAATAGCGTTCTAAGTTCCTGTCGATAAAAAGTCCAAGCAGTGCTTTCAAGCAAAAGAGACTGCAGAAATGTTTTCTCTCTAAGAATCGGACGCAACAGACACAACAACAAAAAATCAGGATACTGCCGACCGGGATGCTCGAAATTTGGGGAAAAAAATTGGGATACCCGATTAAATCGGGATGAGTGGCAGGTCTGTGGACTTATTCTATTTCAATATAATCCTCATTTTATACAAACAGCAGAACACATAGCATGTCCAACCATGCAACTATAAAGACGCTGATTGAAAAAAATCATCATATGTGCTAAAACAAGAACAGAATCTATGGCGATTTATTTCCAAATACTCACCATTTCTAACCACTTCACGATGCATTCTGAATGATACATATGGTCACAAGGAAGCTTTCTAACTTTCTGATATAATTCAAAGTCATCCATGCATATAGCGCACTGCAATGTCGCATCTGCAGAAAAAAAAGCACAATTTATTCTTAAACTGTGAATAGTACAACAAATATCATTTGATTGCAACTGGCACAATGGTGAAATGAATTGGGCCACATTGATAGAAAGTCAATTCTAAACAATTGTTGCTGATATATTGGGGGTCAGTACACATAGAAAGGGAACCATTTTTTCCATAAAAATAATGACTTTTTAAAACAAAAGGTTATTTTCAGATTGCACAAAAGTATCCTGAAATGAATTCTAAGAAAGAAAGAATACGTACAAGTACATTGTCCAGTGTTGTCTCATAAACAGAAATGGAAAAAAAAAACACTCTCCAGAAAGGTTTGGCATAATTTTAATAACAAAGGGTCATAAGCTTAGTCAAAAAATGAACAGGAGTGAGACGAAAGCACTATAAAGAAAACACACAAAAAATTCAGAAGAGGTTACAAGGACAGTTCACTAAGCAAGTTACAAAGTTAAAATCCCATATCAATGAAATGAAAAGGTGAGGAAAATTAATTAAATCTATTTCAGAGAGCAAAGAGTACAAACTGTATGCTACAAAGTGAAAAGGAACTCACCAATATGTGACTGATCTATGGTCACTGTGGGCAAGCTCTCAATTTTTTCTTTTTGTGCTGGTGGGGCTCCAGATCCTTCCAACTGGCTAAACAACTAAAAAAGTAATAGACAAGGTTAAGTTTTCGAGCAACTATGGAACAAAAAGGCAATTTTCATTTCCTTAACGTTGAAGTAGTAATTTTGGGATTCATTCTCCACAGAATTACATCAATAAAATCATGGTACTAAAATCATTATCGACTCAGGAAAAAAAAATTACATCAAAGGTCTGTGAAAACAGTGACATTGAAAGTGATTTCATTTCTACATCCAAACAACCTATATAAAATATGATTTCAAACGTCTTTAAGTAGCTTCAGGGAACATGAAAACTCATGAAGAGTGGTAATAGTGCTTCTACCATTGTCTTAAAAAAAGTTGAAGCCACATTCTTGATTCTGAAAAAGTATTCAAACTCTTAAGTATAACTGCAAATCCACCAGGTCATTCTGACAGTTGGGTCACAAATGAAAACTACATGTAAAACTGCACATGGACAATAATAAAGATCCAGTTAAGGGAATCTAACGAGACACCTGCAAAGACCAAAAAATCTCACACGATCTGACATCAGTGTGGAGCAGGACTCCAAAGTCTCTGCTGTGCCCTCTAAAAAAACCCTACCAACAACACACTACGAAATACTCTTTAAGTGCTCTAAAAAGACCTAGCTTTTGCCACAAGGGCCTGTTTAAAAAACCGTAACATTAAGAGAGTTTTTTATCTCTTAAGATCGTGGTTAGTAATTTTATCAATTTCTGGTGAAAGACAGAGAATGAAAGTAAAGTTTCAACTTTGTATTTATGTGGCAGGTTTCACAATTTGGGTTATAAAACATGACATATGATATACTGTTTGAAAGCTTAACATTTCAGGATACTAGAAATGCATATTTTATGAGCGTCAGCTCATGGCAGTGTGCGTAAGAGACCTTCAAAGTTAACTCCCCCTGATTCTCACTAAATGAAGAAGCTTACTGAAATCTTTCTGTAAATCACATAAAGTACACAAATACAACACAAAAATATTCACAATCCACCGAAGAACACCCTAACAGTTTACATAGGAAGAAAAAATGCTGGAAACCCAAGATTTATACCCAGATTACTCAATTTGTTACATAACCATGCCGTTAAAATAAAAAATTAAGTATAGTTAGTATTCTTTTATTGTCAAACAAAGCACAAAACTTTCCTGAGCTCTTTGTAATATGAAAAAGTAATTTAAAATGTATTAGAGTACAGGTTTTAATGAAAATTTACTGAAAGATACTTAGATAACCAAGTTAGAGGCTAAACGATAATTTTTAATTATTGGGTTATCTCCCCTGAAAATTGGAAAATATCATCATAATAATAATAATAATAAGAGCATTTGTATCCACAGCATGGGCCCAAGGCGTACACAGGAGATTAAAAACGCATTCGTACTAACACCATACAAATTCATCATGTGCGCACTTTTTGACAGCAACATTCTTTCAGACAATAAAAAATGCACATACAAAAAGGCAAAGGTACTGTCCATTAATTAAAATACTTCTTAAATAGATGTGTTTTGAGTCCCCTTGTGAAAGTTTTATTTCGCTCCTCAAATCATGAGGGAGAGTGTTCCAAACTGTTGGCCCAGAAAAAGAAAAAGCTCTCTCACCGTATTTCTTCAGTGACACACGAGGTGTTGAAATTAGTCTAGAGCCACTGGATCTTAGTTGACGTGATGGTGTGTATGGTACAATTAGTTCTTGAATGTATGTGGGAGACTGCTTAGTTTGGCCTTTAAAGCATAGTAGGGCTAACTTGTATACAATTCTCGCTTTCAGGGGAAGCCAATGGAGCTCTTAAAGTAGGGGAGTCACATGATGGCGTTTTGATTGCTTTAATACTAGCCTGGCAGCATTGTTTTGAATGCGTTGGAGTTTTGCAATTTTTTTAGGAAGGTTATTTTGCCAAAAATACATCACATAAGTATTTTACCATCAGCGCGATCAACTGCGAATGTCCATCCAAATCTAGAACGTTCGACTCAAATTGCGCGTTTGCGATGTTCTTTCGATCGGAATGATTTACTATTCTCATTATTTACTCCATTCTTGTTTTTTTTCATCTAGTCTTATATCAAAGTTGAATGAATAAACACAAAACAGTATCAGAAACTCCGATTTGATCAGAAAATGTGGAATATTTACGCAAAAACTAACATTCTTGTCGATCGTCATTAGGTCGTACGTCATCGGATGGACAACATTCTAAACCCTATTGCGGAGGAACCGTTCACACAAGAAGTCCAGACCAGCAACGAATATAAAATATCCGTCCCCGCGATTACGGGAACAAGGAAAGAATGAGTTTTCCGTCACGTGGTATCGATAAAGCTTTCTTTGTTCGCGGTCGATCGTCATTGACTGTCTGACGGACACTGGTCACATGAGATATATCGGCCTAAAATTTCTTAACCTATGACTAAAAAACAAACTTTTTTCAACTTACACGCTCAGAATAAGCGTTAGTTTCACATGGGGGCAAGTTTTCCACAGATTTCATGTAGAAAGGTAGGCTTAGATGGCATTTTGAGAGCATCCTAATTCAAGTGGACAGGTGTGATAAAAATGTTGCCCTATTCGATCCCAAGCCTAGGTCTAAGGACATGTAGGCTTGAAATTTGCTGTTGTAACAACTTTTCAAGGCTATTTTCCAAATTCTACACAATATTTTTGTGGAAACATGAGTTTTAGGCCTTACCCAGATGAACAATCTGACTAGACCTAGAAAATGGGAAATGGTGTCCTTCTGAAAAGTGACGATAGACGTCCTAAGATCATTCATAAAAAATGAACAATCACAAAATCAACAAATTTTAATGGTTTTCTAGTTTATTTGAAGCAAACACAACACAAACACAGTTTGAAAAATTGTTTATTTCAACAAAACATAAACTTATAGGCATTGAAACATCTCACCACCCCAGTGCGCATAAAATTGCGAATCCTGCCATATGCACCACCCTGAATAAGCCAGAAATAGTTTAGCTTGGTGTTCTTTACATCTTTTCCAATTTAACAATATGCTGCTTCCTACACAAAAAAAACTGAGACAAGGTTTTGTGTACATTTTGACAATATAGATCTTTTAGGTTCAACCGCATCTGTCAAGGACAATGGGGGCCGAGTTGTATACTATATCCAGAACTGCAACTGCCTATGACCACTAAACATCTGAGAAATTCTCAGAAATGCTCTTGAAAAAAAAAAAAGAGTTTGAGGGGGGAAAAAACAAGACCTGCCACTCTATGAAACCTCAAAATCAGGATTTCCGGGGGGAAAAATTGGGATTTGGTGATAAAAATCGGGATCAACAGCAAAAAACCTAGGTGACTACCAAGCTGACTTAAAAATTTTCCTGGAGTGTCCATAAATTATATATAGGCAAATATGCCCTCTGTGTGTCTTTGCGCGTGCGCGCATATTTTTTCGTTTGTTTTTTAAATTCTGAAGCATCACGTCGTGTCAAGCACTTCTAGTCCAAGTGTCTAAACCCCCCCCCCCCCATACCAATAAGTCCTGAAGGACGCTTTAACCAGCCTGCATGAACTAAAGTTGACCCGATCAATGGACGATCTCCAACACATGGAACTCACACGCCGAAGCCATGTCACATGATGTGAACACATGATTGAAACAGTTTTACTGATGGCCCTGACTAACTGCACATTCACACGAAACACTCGGACCAGCGACAGTCGTTCTAGGCTAACGATAACAGCCAACTGACAAAATGTACCAACAAATCTCTTATCCCTCATATGTATTCAGACCAAAGCAACGACAACAGCCGAGTGTTAGTCTTGTCAGCGCAGTTAGTTGTGTAAAGGTTAAAGAGAACGACTGTCGTTCGTCTGAATATTTGGTGTGAACGCGCGGTTTCTAGACCTCAGACGAGGCTTATTTTGAAAGTAACAGTGGAACTACGAATATTATAGATTATTTGTATGTCGCAAATTGTAACAGTTATCAGGCTATCATCAGAGAATTTTGAGTGCAGGCAAAGATCAAACATAACTTGCGGCAAGTCAACTACTAAATCCGGCATCGAGATTTCCCAGAATATTGCTCCGACATCCTACTGACAAAAGGTTCTACGTGTGCTTCCCTCGGTTAAGAAGAAGGCAGAGTAAGTTTTTAGAAAAATCCGTCCAAACAGTAGACTGGAACAAAAAATCAGGATACACGCGATAGAAATCGGGAAAATTGGGATGCTCGAGATTTGGGGCAAAAAATCGGGAAATCCCGACTAAATCAGGAATGAGTGGCCGGTCTGAAATAGCAATCATATAGACTCACGACAATTGAGATCTTCAGTTCTTAAGAGGGGCATAAATCACAAGCCTTAAAGGTATGTGAACAAATGGACAGGCCATGGGCAGAGGTAGATAATGAAGGAAAAAAAGAAAAGTAGAAAAACTTACTGCCCTTTATGAGCCAGTCATCTACCCAAACCATTATACAGGTTATTTCTCTAGGGCTATCATTTGTTAAAAAGCCAAAAACTATACTATCTAACCTATATGAGCCATTGCCAAAACGTGGGGAAAAACACACACATCTCACATTAGTGTGCATAAAATGTGATGCATTAGTATTTATTCCTCCAAAACGTATACACACGTCAAATATAGGATGTAGAACCTGCATTAGCAGTTTCAGACCCCATGTCAGCTTTATAATCTTGAGTTTGTAAATTTTGTGCCAAAAATGTTCGTTTTTTTGTGATTCCTGGAGTGTCATTTTGAGCACACCAATGCAAACTTCCAAGAATGTCCAAAATTTAGTATTTTTGGGTGGGTTTTTTTTAACGTGTGCTTTGATCCTATGCTATTTGTTATTGAGAAAGGTTAACTTGCTCAAGAAATCGGTTTATTTGTTTGCAAATAGACGAACAATTCCGATTATTTGTGCGTCTGTCGTGTCGTCACGGACTAGGTGTTTCAGAAAACACCATTATTTTTCAGTAGAATCACCGTAGCTGGTTAAATCTTTTTGCCTATCGTCGTTTATTCAATACTTCAAAAGCCGCGATGAGCGAAAGGAACATCGAGTTCCTAGATCTACGATTTCGGTCGGCTGTTTAACATTCGTCGTTATTGTCGTCAATTTGCGACGTGCCGGAAGTCCGAATTTCGCCCACTTTTGTTTTGAACGGGTCATCAACAGTGCCCGGATATAATTGTTTTCTCGAGTGACTTCCCCTTACCCGCTTCCCCAGAACAATGGAAGCAACGGGGGAAACAGAAAAACAAAAGTAGTCATTGCCTTCAGCGTCCGGTGACGCACAAGTATTTTGCGTTGAATGTGACGTACTGGGCTGTTTTGCGTGTTTTTAGGCTACTCTGTTGAATATTTTAGTGAAATTGCGTAGCAATGCCAATGAAAATTTAAATTGTCACTTTTGCCCCCTTTTTTTTGGTACCTAAGAAAGAATTTTCAATTCTAATAATCATGCTTCTTGAATTTTGAGAATCGGTTCATAAATAAAAAAGTTATGGGGTTGTAAAGGTCGGCAAAATATGGATGACCCACATATAGGAAAATACTCCTAAAAAGTGGACCACGCAGTAGCAGATTCTGTAAGAAAATCGACGATATCTCGGTAACTAATCCAAGTGTTCGAGAGAAACTTGGCTACCCGATGTGTTTTTGAGTGTAGAAATCATTTCTGCAGTCAGATTTACTACCAATTTCGTAGCTATTTTGTTATAATTAAAATTGTGGTGTACATATTACGATTTTGCGAAAAAGGGGTGTCGGGATGAGTCCATTTTATTTATAGCATCGTATCACAACATGGGATCTTTAAGAATATATGTCGGCAGCGTGACTAAATAATTGCAAAGCTTTTTATGATGACTTTAGATCATGCCAACCGTAAAAGATAAGTTAATTCAATCTAGCATGCCGTACAATTAAAAATTATTTTTCCCCGTTGAGACGCGAACACCCCGAGACGAGATAACCTCGCCTCGGAATACCCCCATTGCGATGTTACAGGGGAATAGAGAGAAAAACAACCGGATGCGCGCGCCCGCCATTGCCCTATTTCAAGTGACCAATGAACGGGTCCGGAATAGTCATGCGGGGATTTGTAGGTCACATACATTTGCCACGAGAGTGAGGGGAAAATGGCCGGTCTCCGTGCGAAGCCGCTTTGGATAGGGGGGTAGTCGTAGATTTACGATCGGGTCTAAACAACTACTTGACACAGAACTCTCAAATTTGAGCACACTATAGAGGATAGATAGATCTATTACCATCTGGGCGTTGAAATTCAAACTCCTTATAGTTTTCGGTGTACATGATACGAAAGTGTTCCCGACACCAAAAGTATAGGTTAATTTATGTGTACGAACTTCAACGTCCACATATCATTAGTTTGCCCTATTTTTTTATTGGTTGCCGAGTTTCATTCGGATTGGTTCGGAAATAGAGCAGACCGAGGTTGACAAAGTTAGTCACCTACGCTTCGGCCGGGTCTGCAAAATCGCCCGTAAACGGGGACCAAATTTTCGCCTCACGGGAAAGCCCGATTGGCATTGCTAAATTGCAGTGTTTACACTGGATTCCTGGAACAAGAGTGTGATGTGTGAACAAACTTCGAGAGATGGATCATTTCTGTGGTTATAGATTTAGCTTTTGTGCTCAGTGATGACGTTTGGGGTGACGTCATGCAGCCGTACAAGACTGACTGACGTACTAGAAATTACATTGTCCTAAGAGCAAACATTTTTAAAGTAATGAGTGCTCTCTTTACTCAAACAAATAAACAAACATGTCCTTGTTTATCTGTCTAACTCAAAAATACACATTTGTTCTTTGTTGGTATGATATACCTTTTTCCAATACATTGTGTCATCATTGTTATGTACAAGTAATATTTGTCATCATTGCTAATATCAATAAGTTTTCAACATATATTTCATACATGCAAGATTCATTTAGAAGCAAAATACGCCTTTCTTGATCTGTGTATCTCTTGGTGCAAATTTGTTCTTTGTGGGCATGATTTTACCTTTTCCCAGTACGTTTTGTCATCACTGTTATGTACGAGTACTGTTTGTCATAATTAGCAACATAATTGTGATCGTCCACTGTCTTTGATATGACATGATATCTGTTTCAAAGCAAAAGAAACCTCTCCTGGGTTTTTTTTAATTCTTAAAGTGCGCTTTTCTCTCTGGAGGCAAGACTTTTGTCTTTTCCTGTACATTGTGTCATCATTGTTATGTACAAGTCATGTTTGTCATCACTGTTATGTACAGGTCAGCTCAATTGATTTTGTGCTTTTGCCTCATATTAGTTTAAAAATTGTTTTACACATGTGTTTTTCTGGTACTGAGGCTTTGATAACTGTATTTATACAGCCTTTCACTATTGTGATGTGTTGTCAATGATAATGTCCAATGTGTATCCTTTCTTGTACATAACAATGATGACATGTTCTGTGCACTGCGTCATTGTTACAAAGCTTGTCATTCATATTACCATTATGAATGGAGTTCATAGTGTACAAAGTCTTTGTTTACTATACAAATGGAATTTAAAGTCCATCATTTGCCTCGCTGCTTATCTGTTTTTGTCATCACTGTTACATACAAGAAATACAGTGGTTGACAAACCAATAGACCCATATCTCCAAAACCGTACATCTCCTTGCTCTGATACTCTAGGAATATGAGCACTAAATGTCAATCTGTGACTGACAGAAAAGAGAGTCAAATTGGTAAGAAATTTTTTTTTGGCACCACTGAGTCTCAAGAGAGTCTCACGTTTTGGCAATTGCTCATATAGCTCATAGAATTGTTTATAACAAACCTGCGAAATGATGGCATCCAGACCTCCTGTGCCCCATGCATAATCCCCTGGGTTGCCATGTAAGTGAACACTGTGGGTAGTTAAACATATTTGAATAAAAAGCTCACAGAGAAGACCATTTGTAATCATCATAAATTGTAGCATCACAATAAGCACTCTTGAAACTTGATTGCTCCAAGTGCTGTCTATTCTTGTGCCAAAAATAAATTTTAGATCCCATGTTTACAGCAATCATACTTAATAAGTTGCGCAAATGTGAAAAATATATGAGTGAGACATTGTGGTGAAATCAAGTGCTCGTCAAAATAACTAAATTGAAGATACCGGTATTTTTCCACTGGTTTAGCAATTTTTATGGAATTTTTGTTTTTTGGCTCAACATCTTTTTCGCCCATTTAAAAACACTTTTCTGAGGGGATTTTACTGGAAATCACCAAACTTTTGCAGCCATTTTCTCAGTCAAACCTTTCAAGATAACAAAAAAAACTTTTAAAATCAGCTGCTTGAGCATTTAATTTTTACAATAATATATTATATCCTTCAAAATCTCCGACAACTAGGCGCTTTCTCTAGGCACACACACACGTGTTCCAAGTGAGATAAATTACTACAATAAGGAATACGTACAATGGGGGGCCTCCTCCCAGGTCACTGCCAAGGCGCTGTATCATGTAATTAATAATCCTGTGGAGTAATAAACATAAAATAAAAGTTCTTCTTGAATGCATAGCTTTTTTTAAAGCATACATATAAAAACAATTACTCTAACAATATGAATGAGCACTGATATTCCCTTCCGAGTGCAGGGAGCACAAACTTACTAAGAAAAGTGTTGTTATTTCCAAATGAGATGCCATTTCATTGCAACTGTGCTCTTTTAGAAGGAAACCTCTCGATATCCCTTACACTTTGGTAAGTCACATGGCATTCATGAAAAGAAATCTACCTCTCAATCCATTTGTTTCTAAACAACAGGAGCATTGATCACTTAAGCACAAGATCACTGTTAAAGCTATCACAAGAACAAAACCCATTGCTGAACATTCATCCTCCACAACAATCAGTATCACACAAAGGTAGGGAAAAGGAAGGGTCGATTCTTCATAACAATCAGTATCACACAAAGGTAAGGAAAAGGAAGGGTCGATTCTTCATAACAATCAGTATCACACAAAGGTAAGGAAAAGGAAGGGTCGATTCTTCATAACAATCAGTATCACACAAAGGTAGGGAAAGGAAGGGTGAATTCTTCATAACAATCAGTATCACACAAAGGTAGGGAAAAGGAAGGGTTGATTCTTCATAACAATCAGTATCACACAAAGGTAGGGAAAGGAAGGGTGAATTCTTCATAACAATCAGTATCACACAAAGGTAGGGAAAAGGAAGGGTCGATTCTTCATAACAATCAGTATCACACAAAGGTAAGGAAAAGGAAGGGTCGATTCTTCATAACAATCAGTATCACACAAAGGTAGGGAAAAGGAAGGGTTGATTCTTCATAACAATCAGTATCACACAAAGGTAGGGAAAAGGAAGGGTGAATTCTTCATAACAATCAGTATCACACAAAGGTAGGGAAAAGGAAGGGTGAATTCTTCATAACAATCAGTATCATACAAAGGAAGGGTGAATTAAGCGAATTAAGGGCATTCAACATAGCTTAAAAGTACTTTCTGTTTCTCACCCATGGAAGGTCTGCTGGCCTGGTTGGTGAAGGTCACCGGGAGTAAAGTGGAACACAGCACTCGGTGCAACACCTCTCATATCGTCATCCTCGCTCTCTTCTGTGTCTTCTGTTGGATTTCGTGGGGCTTGGCTTGCTTGGCGAGTGTTGTACCTGTGTCGCGTGCCCCACATGGTGCCAGGCCCTCCTGAATTACGGAGGGGATCCAGAAAAGCATTGCTAAGCATCTGAAAAAAACCCAGAAAAAAAACTCATTAGCAATTTTTCAAAATCCAATGGATTCATAGCTGTCACATTTGACCAAAAAAAAACTGAACTTTTTTAGAAGGAGAAAGCAGATTTTTTTTTTTAAGCAATGACCAATGACATCACAGCACATTTCTAAATATCACTTTTGTCAGGCAATTAATGTATCTTACTACTAATCGAGCTAAGGCCAAATTTTGCGAACAGTATATTCTCAGAAACTAAAGAATTAAAAAATATGAAACTTTGCCAGTACCCATAAATTGAAACGTAGTGTTGCACTATTGTATTTTCATTAAGATCAAATGTGTAAGAAGAAAGCCCATTTTAAGTTAAATTCAGTCCTTTTGTAGCGATCGCCATCATTTGCTTCGACATTGTATATTCACTGCGGAATGCCGACTGCGTCGAAGGATATTTTGTGTTCAGTTATACAATAAGTAGGTTTACGTGAATTTCCAGTTTCGGTCTCATGCCTTGGACTGTCTTCTCACAGCGGGTTTGGAGCGCTCGTTTAAAATAATGCTAGTCACACTCAATATTCATGACTATTAAATCAAAAATGTTAAATTTTCACTAAAATATGACAAGTCAGTTCACTGATTTGAAAAAAATTGTTATAATTTAAGATTTTCCCAAACTATCAAAACAAAGCAAAGGCACGCATAAACATATACTTGTGTTGTAGTTTTTCTATCAGCTCATGAACACTGACACTCCTCTCTCAATTAAAAATATTGATCATGTTCATGCCAACTTCATTTTGGATCCTTTGATCTGGTGCTGTATTGAGTATTGTTCACTTTACCATTAACAAACCAATCCAACCTCATTCTGCTGAAGACCTGACTGACAGCTAACAGCTCAATGACCCCCCCTCCCCCCATCAGTGATGCCCCAGGTATACTCTTAAGATCTTGCTCGCTCTCTCTCTCTCTCTCTCTCTCTCTGCCTGTCTCTCTCTCTCTCTCTCTCTCTCTCTCCCTCCCCACTCCCCGTCTCGCTGTGTTCAAATTTTGCAAAAACATTCTGTTATTTGTTGTTAGCCCATCTTCCAGCCAGGCATTCCATCATCACTATATGTACATGTACGTTATCAATCTCAAATACACTGTAACATGCAAAATGTTAACACTTACTTCTGCAAACTGAACAGCAGGGTCTGTGGGTGTGGCACTGGCAGAGGACTGTGGTTGTGCAGCTGGACCACTGAAAACCAAATTTAAAAAACACAACAAATATTACATTTTGAAGACAAGATCTAACTGTATTTATTGACTGGAAAAAAAAATGTCTTTCAGTAAAAGGGCTAACAAAGAAATCTGAAATTGGTCGTGAAAACTCACTTAGAAAAAGCAACTTTCAAGCTTAAGAGCATTTACAATGCAAGCTTGTAGGTTAATTAAATGGGCATGCTTTTGTACACTATAAAAATCAGTAATGCAAAAAGGTGTGTAACAGCTGTGGTGAAATACAGAACAATATTTATCTCACAAAGTAATACCACACTGAGTAAATCTAAAATGAAAAACAATTTTCAAAGGCCATATGGTTGGGTCGTTTGTAAATGAGTAATAGTAAATTCAATAAGAAAGATACATATATACAAGGTCCCTGCCATGAACTCTCAACCAAATTCAAGGAGATTTCTAGGAGGTTACAATGAAACCTTTTTAAAACTCAAGGAGATTTGGTCAAGAAATTCATCCCGAAAGCCTATTTCCCATATGCCTGACTTGTCCGAAAGCGATCGTAGTTTCAATTTTCCTCCAAAAATTTTGCTCATGTCCGATCCGGCAAACTTCAAGGAATTTTCAAGGAGGTTCCTCAAATTCAAGTTTTCAAGGAGATTTTTCCATGAATGGAAATTCAAGTTTTCAAGGACTCCTTGAATTCAAAGAGGCTCCAGGAACCCTGTATATGCAAAAAGAACACTGTAGCATACAATTGTATTCCATTCTCTTTTGACGTATGAAGAATCAGCCTCACACTGTTTCGACTGTACATGAAGTATGGGCAATACAAATTTCTTTCACAAAAATTATTGCTGTACATTTACAATTTAAAATGCTTTAACAAGACTGCCTCAACAGACATGATATCCGTTATAGTGGAATCCTACTAAAGAAAGGGATCACAGTTACAAGAACTGTAACTAAATGATTAACCAATGAGATTACTTTTAACAAATAAATTACCCACTAACTATTTTAACTTATCAGCTATTGCTATTTCCTTTTACGGTGATATTATTTGGGGTGACCTTATTTGGGCTATATGTAGTGTCCAAAATAATGTTTGTAACCACCTCTGGACTGTACTCCCCTACATAACCAAACATCCCTCCCTCAGAACCTGCAAGGCTCATAGGTTGCTACTCTGTATGAGATAGTTTACCTGGTCTTCATAGCCTCTTCTTAGTGACACTGACACTGTAGAATCTAAATTTCACACCAATAGATAGTAGTCTCACACAGGTTACCTAGATATAATTTGAGATGCACACAGGTAAAAATAATAGTAATGCTTATATTGAGTCTACAGCATGCTCCGTGCGTTTACAATTTAACTCATAATCGAATAGTTAGGGAAAAGAAGAACCCATATGCGGTTGTTTTAGCGCAGTGCATTCTTTTTGTTCAATCATTAAAAAATTGTTTTAGGATTTTGTTGAGGGTTGGAACACTGCTATAGCCAAACATGTTTGTCCGAATGCCTGTGTTACAAATGACCTTTTTTACTGTACATTACAAGAGATCAGGCTCTGGAATTTACAGCCTACTATACCCGATGAGACTGTCATAAGTGGGGCCCACTGTATGATTTAACTAAACCACAGTTTACAAAATATTGCACTTACCTTTCCATTTCCTCGATAAAACCACTGTTGCATCTTGAGCATGTGTAGGCCTTTTAATGACAGAGAAAAAAAAATTTCTTACATACTAAAACAAATTCAAGATCCAAACAATACTCAAAACAAACGTTACACAACACTTGTCCACAAAAAACAGATCGCAATAAGTTTTGAGTCAATTCTTTAAAAATCAGTAATCTCTCTGATTTTGGTAATTTATTTATAACTACCAGGCGTTTACCCTGGCCCAACCATGTGACAGACCTTCATAGAAGCTTTCCGGTATAGTCGAGAAGGTTCCTTAACGAAAACTTGTCTTCTGTGCATGTATGCCTAGCCTAGTCCCACTTCTCCCTCTCTCTCTCTTCGGGCGCTGTGGCGTCATAAGCGGTCAGAAATGACGACAGCAAGCAGGAACTCAACACTTGCCCGGGGGTCCATGAATAGTGCTGAGCGTGGGTCACTGAAATGTCTCAGCAGATGTGTTCTGGCATGATAGTTGGCGGGACATTTCAGGAACACATGGTCCATAGTTTCGTCCTCCTCCTTGCAGGCTCGACAGGACGGATCTGGCGCAATTTTGTGGAGATATGATCTCAGCTTGGGCGATTTTCCACCATTTCTCATTCGGAAGAGAATCCGGCGGTCCTGTCGTCTGAGCGAGGCTTCAAGCTGGTATGATGGCGGCTGGGCGAACGGCAGTTTGGGTTTCGCCTCTCTTTTCCACTTTGTCAAGTTCTGTATCACTGGTCTTGATCAGTATTCCGTTGCCTCCACACTTGGTACCATATTTAGCTGAACCGTCAGTCCAGACTTCTACACCGGGCAGGGGGAGCAAACGAATGGTAGCCTCTGCTGCTGCTTTCCTGACGGCTGGTTCATTAGCATGCTTGCAGTCGACAACGAGACCGGTGCTAAAGGTCATGTTGCATGATGCAGCCTTCCATGGTTGTATGGGGGGTAAAACAACCAGTTCCTCACATGGGTACATACCTAGTTCAGTTTCAGCTACGAGGTTCTGGGCATGCTTTCTCCAACTCAACTTGCCTGTCCGCATGGACACTGATTTTGTTGCGGAGGCTCTGCGTTGATTCGTTGCAGGCAGACGCATGGACTTCTTGAGTGAAATAGCAGTCAAGGCATCAGCTCTATGCCTTAGGGGTAAAATGTGTGCAAATTACTATGGAAACAAGCTTAGCAGTGTCGTTTAAATACTATTTTGACCAGTGTCACGAGAAATTACCTTGGTAACTACGAACAAGAGAGGGATTTAAGACTGACCCAAAATGTCACATACACAGAGTGGTGGCCCCTCCATGCATATTTATTGAGTTGAGTGAAGGATGCTAAATAAAATTTACCATCAGCTTTCCTAAAGTTTTCAGTTAGTTTTATTAGAGGTTTTACGGCGCTCACAACTGCATAAGGTCATATGAGCGCCAAGGGGTGGATGTCAACAGAGAAGTCCTTACAGGGAATCAGACTTACACTGCTCACCTCTCTTGCTTCAACAGCACAAGGTCTGCTTCGACTATCAAGGCACCCCGGAAATAGCGGCTCACAAAAGTGTGACAAACATACAAAAGAAGTAGAGGAAAAATGACGATAGGATGAGGAAAGAAAAAGCAGCAGTTCCCTGTTGAGCATGACATTGTTCGATCAACCCATTTACAATTCTACTGTGCATTAGAACGAGAAATGTCCCCCCTATGGGAATGGCCTAAAGACACTTCAGTCAGTGGCACCGCCCCGGGAGGTTGAAGTTTTCGGAAGACTTGATTCCAAACATAAAAAGAAGAATGTTTGATGAACAAATGTAAGCCATTACTAGTCCACTAGTTTAAAACGAGGACATTTTAGCTTTCTTGGTCACAACCAATCTTTTACTCATATTCCGAAGACATCAGATTTGGACCAAGATTTAAGATGATTTCTAGTTCTAGAAGCCAATTATATCAGTATGAATAGAACTGTAGCTTCAAACACTTTTTTAACCCTCGTCCTGCGAGAGCCGGGTTTATGTCTCCCAATTGAATGCGTATTTTGGCAACTCGCCTTCCGTCCAGTCCAATATCAGTCCAGCTCTGGCTCAGCGCATGCGCGCCTAGCATCTCCCACGTGATGACCGGGTCCCATATTCCCGCAGCTCAAGTGTGTGTGCGTCAGTCTGCTTGAATTTGTGTGCGTTTCTGACCTACTTCTAGAATCGCCTGCCTTAGATCTTAACTGAGGCATATGTGTCATTCAAAACACGCCAAGTTGGTAGTTCTAGATGTTTATCCAAAGAAATTTGAACAAATTGACCCACTTTTATGACTCGAAAAGATAGCCAAGAAACAAGACTTCCATTTTTTAATACACAAAATCTTTCAAACGAGCTTGATTTTATATAAAATGATCATCATCATCATCATCCGGTGCCTTGTTGACTGGCTTGGGTGATCATGGACCTCTACTTCCATCTGTCTGGCGTTGCAGCAATGGAGTCTGTTGATCTTGCTGCTCCCAGCCATGTTGTCATCTTGCCCAGTATCTTTTCCCTTTGTTTGCCCCTGCCTCTCTTTCCATCAAACTTGCCTGTTGTTACAATATTCTCCAATGCTTCTTTCTGCATTGTGTGTCCAATTAAATTTGTCTGTCGTTTTCGTATATTCGTCATAAGCTGTCATCTGCAATTTTCTTCAACCAAGACTTCTTCATTTGTTTTTCTAGCTGTCCATGGGATACGCAGCATGCGTCTTACGAACCATAACTGTGTCGCCTCAATTATTCTTTCCAGCTGTCTATTGATTGTCCATGCTTCACACCCGTATAGGATTGCTCCGATGTAACTTTTCAGTACTCTTTTTCTTGTTTCCAGTGACAGATTGATGCTTGTGAGTATCTGTTTCATTTTGTGGAAGGTTACTTTTTTGCTTAGCAAATGTAGCTTTTAATTTCGGTGTGGCATCTGATTATATTTTATGGTCCCAGATGATATACCTGATAAAAATAAGCTAAGTTTTGAATACCATTGTGCAGGTAAAAAGAACAATTTGAGAGCACAACATTCAGAAATTGACCTATATTATTCCTTTTCAAACTCCAAATCATCCGTAACAACAAAAGTGTCCAAAAAGGTTTATTCGAATGGATGTAATCGTAATGTCTTATCACAGCTTATGGGAGGGGGTTTTATTCAAACACTGTTCGTAACACTTTATAAATAGTCATTGCCAAAATGTGGTGAAAAACACATACATCTCACATTAGAGTGCATAAAAAGTGATGCAATAGTATATTCCTCCAAAACTTACACACACGTCAAATATAGGATGTAGAATCTGCATTATTAGCAGTTTCAGACCCCATGTCAGCATTACAATCTTGAGTTTACAAGTGAATTTTGTGCCAAAAATGTTCGGTTTTTTTAGTGATTCCTGGACTATCATTTTGAGCACACCAATCCAAACTTCCAAGAATGTCCCAAATTAAGTATTTTGAGATGGTTTTTCTTTTAATGTGTGTGCTTTGATTGTATGCTTGTTATAAAATTGTCATTGAGAAAGGTTCATTTGCTCAAGAAATCGGTTTATTTGTTTGCAAATAAACGAATAATAATTCGGATTACTTGTACGTTTGTCGTGTAGGGAGGCTATTCAAACAAACAGAAAAATCAGAATTTCAGCTTTGTGGTACAGAATCCAGGACCCAAAGCCAGATTCTAGATTTGTTTATCGGCAAAACAAGAGCAGTGCTTTCTGAGAAGTGAAATTTTAGTTTTCATAATTTAAATGTCCAAAAACGAAATGAAGTGGTTATGCGTACGGCTCTCGTGCACATAGCCTCGTGGCTGTGCGTATGGCCCTCCTGTATGTATGCATAGCATCGAGGCTATGGCTATGTGTACGGCCCTCCACTAGTCTTTGTAGACTACCCATAAACTATTAATAAACCAGACACTACAAGTGGAAAAACTTAAACCTTGGAAGCACACAAGCCCTTTATAAAGGGCGTGAGCCGGACTACCAGGGAAGCGCGCAGACTCTATAGCTGACCTACTTCGATAGGGAAGCGCGCAACTATAAAGGGCTTAAATACTGACCTTTTTTAAAATGGGAAATTTCAGTATTCCTTTTATGATAATGAATAGTAAATTACAGGTCAAAGTTATAAATAGTGACTAGTGACTTTGCAAGGTATCTTGACCTAGTAGAGCGTCTCTTGGCTAAAGACCGTACATACACAAGATGGTTCACTCAGCCACAAAAGTGTCTGCAGAAGTCCGCGCATTAGTTTAAATGACGCTGCAGTCTTTGTTTTGAAGCTCTCTTTTGTTTCTCCAGAAGAAAAATAGGAATTAGCACAGTTTGTTAGTTTCACTTTTAGTAGGCCTAGATCTATATATTTTCACACAATAGGGGCGGGTATAGGGTAACTCTTTCGTGAAGTCTGCACTTTTTCGAAGAGGGTGCCACCGATTTTTGAGAACATTTTAAAAAATTGGCTCAAATACAGTCCAGGAGTGAACTATCTTGTACATGATGATCTTTGTCTTGGCCAAGATATCGATCGATAAAGTGACGCGGTCCAGCTGAGCGATTATCAAGGCCGGGAGGGAAGGACTTCCGTAACGAGCGACCACCCCAGCCTACGCAATAAAGAAGGGACTTTTGAGTGGGATAAGTAAAAGATAGGGTTTAGTATTTGGTTGGGCAATAAAGAAAGTAAAGAAAGTAAACTTAATTTGTGTTACTTTGTATTCCTATTGCCTTCCTTT